TGAATTTTAGCCATTCTGACTGGTGTGAGGTGGTATCTCATTGGGGTTTTGATTTGTATTTCCCTGATGCCAAGTGATATGGAGCACTTTCTCATGTGTCTGTTGGCCATCTGGATGTCTTCTTTGCAGAAATGTCTGTTCATGTCTTCTGCCCATTTCTTGATTGGATTATTCTTTGGGTGTTGAGTTTGCTAAGTTCTTTATAGATTCTGGACACTAGCCCTTTATTTGATATGTCGTTTGCAAATATCTTCTCCCATTCTGTCAGTTGTCTTTTGGTTTTGTTCACTGTTTCCTTTGCTGTGCAAAAGCTTTTGATCTTGATAAAATCCCAAGAGCTCATTTTTGCCCTTGCTTCCCTTGCCTTTGGCGATGTTCCTAGGAAGATGTTGCTGCGGCTGAGGTCGAAGAGGTTGCTGCCTGTGTTCTCCTCCAGGATTTTGATGGATTCCTTTCTCACATTGAGGTCCTTCATCCATTTTGAGTCTATTTTCATGTGTGGTGTAAGGAAATGATCCAATTTCATTTTTCTGCATGTGACTATCCAATTTTCCCAACACCATTTATTGAAGAGGCTGTCTTTTTTTCCATTGGACATTCTTTCCTGCTTTGTCGAAGATTAGTTGACCATAGAGTTGAGGGTCTATTTCTGGGCTCTCTATTCTGTTCCATTGATCTATGTGTCTGTTTTCGTGCCAGTACCATGCTGTCTTGTAAATGTTTTAAATTAAAAGAAACGACCTACTTTTTTCTATTGCAAAACAATGCTTTTTCATTGTAGAAAAATGTTTAACAATAAGTAAAAAAGATAATCATCCATAATTCCATCATCTTCCTGTGCTCCTGATATGGTCTCTACTAGCCACATGTGGCTATTGAAATTAACTAAAATTAGAGAAAATTAAGAGTTGAATTCTTCTCTCACACTGCTACATTTTAAGAACTCAGCCGCATGTGCCTAGTGACTACTGTTTTGAACAGGACAGGTTGTAGAACATGTCCATCATTGTAGGAAATTCTGTTGAATAGCGTTGAGGGGGAAGCTTAATTTCTTGGTATTTATCTTTCTAGAACTTTGTGTGTGTGTATTTTTGTTAATATACAATGGGACCATACTGTTACCTGCGTCTTTCACTTAATAAATTGGGAACAGATCTTTAAGTCCCGAAGTCTTCTACATCACTTTGGGGAGGGTTTTCAATAGTCTTTATTATGGAAAATTTCAAACAAACAAAGTAGAATAATTTCAATAGCTAGTAGCTCATGGCTAACATCGTTTTATCAATACTACCACCCATTTTTTTCTCTTTCCCAGATTTTGAATAAAATCTCAGACATTTCACTAACATCATTCAGTATGTATCTCTAAAAGAAAAGAGTCAATCACAATATTCATTTCCTTAAACTATAAAATTATGTAGTCACTATTCAAATTGCCCCGATTATATCAAATGTGCTTTTTAAAAATAGATTCTTCAAATTAGAATTCATAGAAGTTCCATTCATTACAGTTGGCTAATAGGTCTCCTGAGTCTCCTATAAGTTCTTCATTAATTTTGAAGTTTCCACTTGCAGTTTGTCGAACACATCACTTTTAATAACAGCACCATTATTTTTGTTTAACCACTTTATTGATGAATATTTGATTCTAATTTCTTGCCACCCTAAATCTAGCTCTGTTTTATCCTTATGGCTAAATGTTTGCATGCATTCTTAATTATTTCCTCAGGATGAATTCCCAGAAGTAAAAATGCTGATTCACAATGGGCAGATATATTTTTGAGGCTCATTCAATGAGTCAGGTATTGGGGATATTGCAGTCAAAAAAATAAAAGATAGATGAACTTCTATTTTCTTGACATCTTGGAATGGAGAAGGATGGGACTGAATAGTTTATAGGTGGCGCTCGTGAGATTGTTGGAGGATAGCGCCTCACAGTGTTTAGAGACCACTCATCAAGGCAGTGACATCTAAGTCAAGGTTTGACGCAGAAGGGGAGTTTGGCAGTGTGAAGATCTAAGGCAGCGCTTTACAAACTTTGGTCTGTAAAAGATGCACTATTGAGGCCCAGTCTCACTGATGATGCATAGGGCCTGATTCTCTGTGTTTTTACCTAGCTCCCCAGGTGCTTCCAAAGCCAACCAAAATCTGGGAAGCTCATCTTGGAGAGAAACATTTCATCACAATAGGAGAGAATTGAGAGTGCTCTTAGGGCCCAGAAAGATTTTAGTTATTGCCAGAGTGCCTTCCAGAAAAGTACCCACCCTTCATCTGCTGTAGAGGAAAGTTTCTTTCTCTGTATCCTTGACAGTATTGGGTACTAGTCAATATGAAAAAAATCCGATCATCTACCCAATATTACAGATGGAGAAACCAATTACCTCTAATCTCTGGTCAGAAGTCTTGACCAAAGTGAGAACTGAAAGAGTTAATGTGCTTAAAAAGTTCTTTGTTTAGCTGGGTCTATACCCAGCCAGTTTTATCTGTTTTGAGTTGAGGAAACAGCACATGTCACCACGTGACACACTACATACCTTTCCTTATTCTATTTTCTCCTGCTAGAATATAAGCTCTATGAGGGCACAGATTTCTGTTTTCTTTCACTGGTGTAATCCTCAGGCACTATGTGCTTGATATTCAGGGGTCACTTGTTACCTGTTGAATAAATGGCCACCTTCATTCAACTCCTGTTTTAGTTTCCAGCCAGCAATATATTTTAGGAAGTTGCAACATTAATTTTTCTTTATGGTCAAAGAATTGGGAATAAAAAATTAACATGGAGTTAAGACTAGTCTCGAGTATTTTCCTTTCTATGTAAAATCTAAATTATCTTGTCACTCCTCTATTATCCATAAATACCAGGAGTAGTGATCTTGTAAAGGTCTGAAAAGTAAAATAATTGAATAAGTTCTAGAATAAGTGGCATAAGGAAAAACCACATTATTGATGTGAAGGTGAGGGGCACAACTCCAGATTTTTTACTAGTGAACAATTAGAATATAATATAGCCGTAGCACACTGCTGTGGAGATAATACGGAACATATAATAAAGTCTTAAAGGAGATTTGTAGTTTGGTATTTGTAATTACCCTAGAAGAAAAGTTATGGTCGCTATTTTTGGGTACTTGTTGGCTATTTAGCCCTTTTGTAGAGTTTGGTGTTTCTAGCATATTTTTTATATATATATATATATATTTTTTTTTTTTAATATATGTTGTTTGCTAAGTGTTAGGCACAGTTCTGCTTTTCATGTATTGTCTTATAATCCTATGAAGCTTAGGTACTAGTATTTACCCTGTTTTCCAAATGGATCTTATTGAAGCTCAGATTAAGGATCCTGTCTGAAGTCTAATAATTAGTCATGCTAGATTAACTTGGAGAACTTGCTCTTGTAACCAATATCTGCTGAAGGTTGTGGTAAAATACACACAACCCAGGGCTTGAATTACTGCTTTCAGTGTGAGTCTTGTCTAAAAGCTTGGGCATTGGCAGAAGTAAGATTTGGGTTGAGATCTGGCTCTATTACTAGCCAGCTAAATTTGCGCAATATATGCTCTAAACCTCAATTTCCTCAATTGTAAAGTGCAAATAATACCTCTGCTTCTTAGGGTTGTGAGGATTAAAGGAATTAAAGTAAGAGCCCATCACTTGAGTGAGTTAATTTAGCTACTGGGTTACCTTCCTACCCCCACAAGGTAATTAGTATGTATTGGTCTTTTCACTCAGCCCACTTCAGAGTTCTAATTTTTTTTCTTTCAGAAAACTGTTACTCCGATTGAAAAAAACAAGAGATAAAAGTGAGATGCATTGTGGGGCGACTGGGTGGCTCAGTCAGTTGAGTGGCTGCCTTTGGCTCAGGTCATGATCCCAGGGTCCTGGAATGGAGCCTGGCATCCGGCTCCCTGCTCGGTGGGGAGCCTGCTTCTACCTCTCCTTCGGCCTGCCACTCTATCTACTTGTACTCTTTCTCTGTCAAATAAATTAAAAAATCTTAAAAAAAAAAAAAAGATGCGTTGTGGTTCTGGGTACCAGTCACTTTCACCAATAAGAGCATGGCACAGTAAACTGCTGAGTGATAATTCGTATGTGCATTTGCCCATGCATTTTCACCTCTGCGACCTTCAAGCATGCAGATCATTTGTACATGTTTAAATGCTGTAGTATTATCATCAGTCCTTAGAAGACTGAAGTTAATGAGTTTTTATGTAGTTGTCAAGTGTCCCAGCTGTCTAAGGTCAAAGCCGTTAACTGTGTGACCTTGGGCAAGTTACCTCAGTGTGCCTCAGTTAAAATTTTGAAAAACGACTTGGCACGTCTTGAGATTCTCTTAAGGTATTATTAGTCTCTTAAAAAAAAAAAAGTCTCCGGCGTTACTTCCTGGGACTTTGGAAACTATCTCCAAGTTGTGGGCAGCAGGGTCCCCCTGCTGGCCACATCCTTTACATGGCCTCAGGTGCCAGTGGGCTGGGCAGGCCATTTGCACCTTAGGTGGCATTTCTCGTTTACCGTGAATGAGGAAGGAGCGTGTTAGTTTAAACTCCCTAGCCCCAGCTAGTCTCCCAGATGTGAAGGGAGTCGGCGGGGAGAGGACTTCAAGCTTCCAAACATTTCGGGGAGAAAGGTTCAGAAATAAAATTTTTCCCTTTTTGTGCGTCCAGTTTAGTATTTTTGCTAACGAACGTCCTGCGTTGGGGCGCCTCTATACCTTTCAAGGCACAGCTTCGATTTCTAGCGTCTGGGTCTGGGTATTTAGGACGCCCAGTTTCAACAAACCTTCCTTGCAGCCCCGCTGGTTTTCTCCAAGTCTCAGTCCTCACCCACCGCCCGATCCTTCCCGTCTGGAATCCCGCTAAATCTAGGACCCAGCGGCTGCCGAGCAGCCCTGGCCCCGCCTCTCCGCGCATCAGCGCCCGCGGATTGGCTCCGGGCAACGAGGCCCCGCCCCCGCCATGGCCGCTGCCCGCCGCTTGGGTCACTAAGTGGCTGCCTGGCTGCTGGTGTCCGCTGCCGCTCCCCTGCTGCTCTGTCTGGGGGTGGGTGGTGCATGGGTCGGCGAGGCGGGCCCTCATGCTCTCGGGCCATGGCGCGCCTGGCCGCTGTGCGCTCCCACTACTGCGCGCTGCTGCTGGCGGCGGCGCTGGCCGTCTGTGCTTTCTACTACCTCGGCTCCGGCCGGGAAACCTTCTCCAGCGCCACCAAGAGGCTGAAGGAGGCCCGCGCCGGGGCTCCCGCCGTGCCCTCGCCGCCCGCGCTGGAGCTGGCGCGGGGCTCCGTGGCGCCGGCCTTGGGCGCCAAGGCCAAGAGCCTGGAGGGCGGCGGGCCGGGGCCGGTGGACTATCACCTGCTGATGATGTTCACCAAGGCGGAACACAACGCCGCGCTGCAGGCCAAGGCCCGCGTCGCGCTCCGCTCCCTGCTGCGCCTCGCGAAGTTCGAGGCGCACGAGGTGCTTAACCTGCACTTCGTGAGCGAGGAGGCCAGCCGCGAGGTGGCCAAGGCCCTGCTGCGGGAACTGTTGCCGCCAGCCGCCGGCTTCAAGTGCAAGGTGAGCGGGGCTGCGGCTGGGGGCTCCTGGTGGAAGGCCCACCCTATACATTCATCTGTCCCCCCACCCCCCACTGCCCCAGCTTTGCCCGAAACGTGGGAACGTGTTTCTAGGTGTGCTGGAGGCAGCGTTCGGGAGGCGTGCCCAGGAGCCAGAAACGCTCAGCGGGTCTGGGAGTGCTGCGGGGCATGGACTCACTACCCTGACCCGTGCCCCACCCGTTAAGTCCCTCTTCTCCCGAGATTTGGCTCGCCCCCTCTCTGCTGGCGTTGCAGGATTCTGCACTACCTTCGCAGTCTGCACTTTTTATTCTCAGTCTTTGACTTTTGAGGTTGGAACGGGTCGTTTGAGGCAGTAGTCATCTGATGCGGAGAGTCTGTGGCCAGGGTCTTAGTGAGGTCGCGTGAATTGAAGTTGCAGTGATAATTCTCGTATTAAAGTCAGAATTGCCTAAGCCCAAACCTAGACATTGTGAACCACCTCATCCCCTCTCTGTACCTTCTTCTTCCCTAGTCTCAAGGGTCACGAACCCATTTAGAGAATCCACCAGTTTCTCTGAGGGAGGAAGCAGAAGCTCTAAGAGGTACAGATACGATCTGGGGAGAGCACAGCAGAGCTAGCCACCCTGTCCCAGGCTGGACCAACCTGCTTCGTTGGCAGCTCTGCTCCCACCTCTCTCCCTCATCTCCCATGATCTCCCAGCGCTGCTTGTCAGAGATTAGCTTCCTGGCTTAGTGTTAATTGCTTCAGTCAAGTTGCTAGCCTCATTTTGACCTCATAGTTGCACAGAGGGCATCCAAGGTCTGATTTTTGGATAAGACTAGGAGGTGATCTTAAAGGATGGAGACTGATAGTGGGGGAAGGGGTAGTGAGGTAAGAGTAATGTTCCATGTGTTTGTGTCCAGTGAGTGATGGGGGAGCTGCTGCCCGGATCCTGCAGGGTTCAGGGGTCTCTGGCAGCTCAAGTCCCAACTTCCAGGAGGGCTGCGTTGTGGGCCTGGCCCTCCTCTCCAGCCTTGCTTTTTGTCCTCCTGTGTGCACCTTAGATCTTGAATGTGCTGAATGTGTCTTTACATAAGATGTATTCTCTGCCCAGGATGTCCTTCCTTTCCTCCTGGGCCCTTGGCCACTCTTTACTTAGCTTTCACCGTCCCTGGAATGTCCCTAGACTTGGGGACCATCTGTGCCCAGCCTTCCACAGCTTTCCATTCCTGCTTCTCCTCATAGCCCACAAAGTCTGTCTCTTGTCCAGAACAAGTAAGCCTGTCTGGAGCATCCACCATAGTCAGGGAAGGGCACCCGGGCCTGGACTTCATGCTGTAGGAGACCCAGAATCCAGGTTCTTGACCACTCTCTGACCTGGGGTTTTTCAGCATGGGACCCATCACAGTTTACCTAATTGGAATCTCAAGGTGAGATCTGGCAGCCTGTCCCAGGTGATCCCTAGTACTTTAATGCTTGAGAAACGCTGTGCTGGTCTGAGGGAGAAAACCAAGGGCCAGTCTGGGCAGAGTTGGGATTTGACAGGGTCTCCAAACACCACCCTGAAGACCAGCATTGTCATTTTATCACTTTATGGAGTCAGAGGTAGCAACTTGGGCCAGATCTCTACCCAGCCCTTTCTCTCCAGCTCGACACAGCTTCTTGTGCACTTGGGGCTGTGTGGCTGCTTGGCCTTTGCTGTGTCGTGCTGCCGTTGGGACCCTCTTTCTCTTTCCATCTCCAGGTCTTGGTCATCTGTCTTTGCCATCGCCTCTGGAGCCTTTCAGGGAAACCCCATCAGAAAGACAAGTCTTCCTCTTCTTCCTCCTCCCTGGTGTGCACTGGTGCTATGAACGTGTTGGGTCTTATCTCCAGTCCCATGATGCCTAGCACAGAGTCCGCACCAGAAATACTGACCTTGGGGCCAGGTTCCCATCATGGTGCCTGTGTTTCCTGCTCTCTCCCTCTGCCATGCTCTCTTCAGACAACCATAGGTCACTAGGCCCTGGATACAGCTCTGGGGGACGTGAATTGAGGCATGGCTGATGAGGGTCTGGAGGCTTTGTAGCTAGATGGCTGTGGTCAGAGAACAGGAAACTGTAGACATTCTCACCCTGGTTGCATCAGGGCTGGGAGGGGTCTTCAAGAACATAGTACAGTGGGTGAAGAGACTTGCCCAAGGGCACTTGGGGAGTTACTGACCTGGCTAGGACCAGACCCATGTCCTAGGTCAGTGTTTTCCCCTTTCTACCATGTTTCTTCTTTGTTTCTCTTCTGAGGTTTTATTTAAATTCAAGTTAGTTAACATATAGTATAGTATTGGTTTCAGGAGTAGAATTTAGGGGTTCATTATTTACATATAACACTCAGTGTTCATTCCATCAAGTGCCCTCCTTAATGCCCATCACCCAAGTACCCCATCCCCCCCACCTCCCTTCCAGTAACCCTCTGTTCTCTATGTTGCGTCTTCTATGATTTTGCCTCCCCCTCTGTTTTTATCTTATTTTATTGTTCTTTCCCTTCCCCTATGTTCATCTGTTTTGTTTCTTAAATTCCACATATGAATGAAATCATCATAGACCATGTTTCTTCTTTAAGAAACACTTCTGTCTTGTAAGGTAAGGCAATAAGGACAGTTTAGTCATAGGAGAAGAGTTGTCTTGACATTTGTGAGGACACCTTGGGGAGAGGAAGGCAGCTCCCTGCCCACCCACCTGTCTGGAGACCGCCTGCTCCCTCAGCATGGGCTCTTAGGAGGTCACCACCATGTCTGTAAGTTGCAGACCAGAGCTCTGGTGAGCCGGCGTGGAAATTGTGCCCACATCCAGAGGTCTCTTCTAAGGCCCTTTTCAAGGGAAATTAAAATACCTTTTAGCTGAAATGCTTGCAGAAAGAGACTACAGAACATTATTAGTGACCTCAGATTATATTTTCATTAAATATTAGCCAAGGAACCATTCACTTAACCAGAAAAATCTTGTGTCCATTATTATGGAAGACCTTTTGAAATCTACTGGTTTGTCTCCTAACAGTGTGGAAGTCTATTATGTCTTCATTTATTTAATAAGCATCCAAACCTGCTGTGTTCCAAGCACCAGGTTAGGAGCTACTAGCCTGTATAAATAGGTCTGTGGACTGACGGCATCAGAATCAGGGCATGGGGCACCTGGGTGGCTCAGTTGTTAAGCGTCTGCCTTTGGCTCAGGTCATGATGCCGGGGTCCTGGGATCCAGCCCCACATCAGGCTCCCTGCTCCAGGGGAAGCCTGCTTCTTCTCCCTCTCCCACTCCCCCTGCTGGTGTTCCCTCTCTCGCTGTGTCTCTCTATCAAATAAATAAAGAAAATCTTAAAAAAAAAAAAAAAAAAAAAGAATCACATGGGCATGCTTATTAAAAATTCAGGATCCTGGGCTCTGCCCCAGCCTGTGGGTCAGAAGCTGCTGGGTGGGCTCTGGGAATCTGAATTTGGATGGAGCTGCAGAGGCTGGTGTGGGAGTTCACTGCCCTAAGGGGATACAGGAGCACCTGGGGCTCTCCTCCCGACCTTTAAGACCCAGTTCAACCCACTTCGGCCCTCCTCTCTGTGCAGCCTTCCCTGGGAGCACAGTGCCTGGCTCACGGTAGGCATTCAGGAAACATTTGGCTGGACTGCTCTCTGTCCTCCAGGCGCTCCTGGTTCTGCTGGCCTGGGCAAGGCTGCTGCATTTGTTCATCTTGCATAAATGCTGCTTTTATGATATGCCTTCCACTCAGAGCCTCCTGACCCCTGGCTCACTTTCATCCCGGATTAGTCCTATGGTGTGTGGCTTCAGTTTTTTGTTCCCACCTTTCCTCCCCAGGCTGTGGAAGAAGCTGTCCCTTCTTACGGGGTTTTGCTCACTCTGCTTCTGAGCCATCTGTTGCCTCATTCTGTTTGTCAAGAGGAACTCTACCCTTGTAACACTTATATCCAGACGTGTCTTTTTCATCAGCCTTCCTTGCTCTATCAGGTTTGATAGAATATGCCGTGGAATTCCCAAATTGTGGTGGTTTATGCAAGATTGAGGTTTATTTCTCATGTAAGTGGAAGGTCAGAGGTGGGCATTCCTGGTGGTCTGGGGGCTTCCTGAAGTCGTGAGGGTCCTAGGCTCCTTGCAGCTGCCTATCTTACTCTCCCTAGGGAGTGACTAACCCTTGTCCTCATGGGCCAGGCTGGCTGCTACAGCTTTAGCCATCATATCTGTGTTTTGGTGGCAGGATGGAGGAAGAAGCAAAAAAAGACTACTCCATTCAAAATAGGGGTTCAATTAATCAGGAAGTGGAGGAGAGCAGGTTTAGAGTAGATGACTGGCCATCCCTGCCCCATCCCTGAAGAGCCCTCCCAGGCCTGACCAAGCACCTGATGTATGTGGAACCCTGATTCGCAGCTATGGGGGACACTGACGTGGGTCAGGCACAGCCATCCAGGAACCCACACTGCTGAGTGTCACCGACCCGTTCATCCTGTCTTGCTGCAAAATGCAGTGGGTTGGGCATGAGAAGGCCCTGAGGGGGTGAGACAGCTCTGAATTGCAACCCCAGTTGGCCAGTTACTAGCTGGGGTTACCATGGGTCAGCCACCTCGCCGCTCTGGGCCTCCGAGGCCTTGTCTGTAAACGAGGATCAAACCCCTCCCCCTACCGCCTCCCGCATAGCGGCGAAGATTCGATGCAGCCCTTCTGCAGTGTGTCCAGCCCAGTGCTGCTGCCATGGCATGGCCCCCACTCTGCTGACCTGTGGGGAAAAATCAGCACAGCGAGCAGGCCCCGGAGCACCCGACATCCCTTAGCACTGATACGACCTGTGGTCCACCCCTTTCCCCTATTTGGGGTGGGCAGCGCCCCCACCCCGGCCCCTTTCCTGGCACAGAGGCCCGGTGGGGCTCCCCCGCCTCGCCGGTGCTCCATACTGCTTCTTCATGGTGTTTCTCTTATGCTCTCGTTGCGTGATCACTCAGATGTTAGCCACTCCTAAAGGCCTTCCCTGAACCCCTTGTCTGAA